GCGGCCATGTCGGCGGACGGAGCTCCGCGAATACGGGCCGCGCACTTTATACAGAGAGGGGTTCACGATGCAGACGCCCCGACTCCCACGGCCCTGCCCGGGGATCACAGGCTTAAAACTTCAGTACCCCGGAACTACTCCGGGTCTGCACACTCTGCCCCACTCAGGACCTCGCTCAGCATCCGAGCAGGCGGGGCGAGCAAGGCGGAGGAGAACCCAAGCTGTCCCGCTGACCTTTTATTCTACTCATTTTTACTCTGGTTATTGTTTCGCACCCCGTTGGGTTAAAAAGGGTGGGGCCCAGGCGAGATCAGTGCCCGCCAGTGCTGCGCAGTTTTCTCCTGGGCCCCCTCCTGGGGTCCCCTCCGCGCAGGGACCCGAGGTGAGGGAGGCGGCCGTCGGTCGGGCGCTGATGGGGGCCAGAGAGCGCCCTGGCAGATGCCCGCGCCAGCGCGTGCGAGGCCGGGGTTGCCAGTGAAACGCGGTGCCTGCGGGCAGCGCTGCACGGAGCAGGACTCGGGCCGGGTCGGCTCTGAGCCAGACCCTTGCTTCCAGCGGGGCCGCTGGCCTGGCCTTTCTAGCTTTTCTGATGTCGCCCTTTTCCTTCTTTCCCTTCCTACTGTGTCAGACGGGAGCAACATTTGGAAAGGTTTCACTATCGTGGACCTAGCGGTGACAGGCAGACTCATCTTAGAGCCGAGCGAAAGAAATCTTCCTGCCAAGTCACAAGACAGCGAGCGTGTGTGCACGCGTGCGCACACCTGTTCCTGACTGCCCCTTTTAAATCTAGAGACTCACACCAGGCCGGCTGAGGTTCTTACCTGTGTACGATATCCTGATGGCAGTGACAGGAATGCTGGAAACCTTGAAGGACTTGGTTTGCAGAAATGCAAAGGCTCCTTCGCTGAGGTCTTCCGAGGTCAGCTTCTGCAGGACCCTTCTGGAAAGCGGCCCGGCAACTCCAAGGACACCCAGCTCCTCGGTTACGTTTCTGATCTCAGCATCGTATCTGCCTCTGGTGGCTACTTCTTCAATCCATCTACATTGGAGTCATGAACACCAGCCTGAGCGTTGCCGGGATGTTGCGTGTTGCTACCGTCTTACTGCCCTGAAGACAGGCTTTGTGTCTAGAATTATCAAAAAGTCCCCGGAGGACCGCGGTAGACAAACACTTGATGTTTAACCTGAGGAAACTGAGTCCATGAGATGTGAAGTGACTGTCTGTAAATCACCCACATATACACTGGGGTCACTCCACAGAACAGAAGGGTGCTTCGATTTTAAACGAGCCACAAGACTTTTCTTAAACAGTGACAGCTCTACTGCATTTAAAGTAATGAGTCAGTCTTCAAAAATTAATGGAAACCCAAATGTGCTCTAACGCTTACATGCAGGAGGCGCACTGGGTCACTGAAGGCTGACAACACGCCTGGCGCCAGGCACAGAATCGCTCTGAGGATCACAGGAGAGATAAAAGTTCTGGCTTCAGTTCCCAAGCCTTGATAAGTTACTGGAGCCCAACTGCGGCCCGCTTATAATTCACCGAGCGGTCCCTCAGGCTCGCAAATCTCTGGGGAGGGGTTTGAGTGGACTGGGCCAAAGCTTGGCTGCCAAGACGGAACCCAGTGCATTTTGCCTGAGAGCAGAAGATGTGCGTCATTCTCTAACCACAGCCAGCGTTAGGAGTGGGCAAGGCCTTCAAATGTTTCCCATAAAAGGCTCAAAATTAAAGGAAAAATTAAAGTTGTACTTCAAGTACTGTAAAAGAAAAGCTCAGTGTCAGATGGAGTAATCTGTACAAAATGTTCTTTTTTTAAAACTTTATTTTTAAGGCAGGCTGGGCTTTAGCAATGTATTGCCCAGGTTGGGCTCGATATTGCCTCAGCCTGCCTCAGCCTCCTAGAGTGCTGAATTACAGGTGTGTACCATCATACTTGGCATACGGAATGTCCTTACTGTCTTGTGCTTACCTAAGATCATGAAGTTCGGACCCAGAACCAGTTATTAACAGAAATTCGCCAGGGGATTGGTGAGAGACAGTCAGCTCGGCATACACACGACCTTTGGGCGTCAACATGTGGCTTATGTTTGTAAAACCCACCTACACCAAATAATTAAAAATGACCTAGCGTGAGCTGAAAACCTTACACATTCCTTTAACACACATGTAAATAAAAATATGGGTGTTAACCACGAAATGCTTTCTGCTGTTATCATCTCTATCAATTGTATGAACTACCTAAACCCAAGGTTAACTGGCACTCTCATCTTAAACAATCATTTAAAGCTGTTATAAAAACTATACTTTCAATCGCAATCAATTTTATTGATGTATTTTTGAGACAGGGCTTCACTATGCAGTTCAGGCTGGCCTTGAACTCACCATACCTAGGCTGCCCTGGATTTCTAGGAGATCCTCCTACCTCAGCCTCCAAACACTGGGATTACAGGTATTGCCATCATGCCTGGCCTGCTTATGGTCAGTTTTAAGTTTCCACCGACATAATTAAGCAAAGTCACTAGGTCCTTGGATGATACAGTAAATCACTCAACAAGAATTTAAATTTGAAATGTAGCATATATTCTCTCAGTTGAGGAGTTCTGGTTTCACAGAGGTATCAAACTGTGAACTGAAGTAACACATTGGATTTTGACTTTTGAAAAAAACCCAAGAGGATGGGGAGTCGCATAGGCGTGAGCCCTGGGCACTGGCCGCCTACCTTGGGAAGGACATTGGCGAGGAGATGGTCCAGCAGCCTCGCAGAGTCCCGGCCTTTGATGGTGAACTTGCCGAATGGTGTCAGGTCAATCACCCCCACTCTTTGCATAACTTGTTTATACTCATAGCCCACCGGCTCAAACCAGTTTGTGCGGCGAAAACTTGGCCTGAAAAGCAGTGTTTGGTGTCAAAGAATGCTTTTGCTCACTGTCCAAGGGTGCAGAGCAAAGCTATTTTAATAAACTTTACCCATCTAGAAAATCCTATTTGGGGGGAACAGATTCGACTTTAAACTTAGCAAATCACATATATGTATGTGTTGAACCCTGACTTTTTTTCTTTTTTTTGAGACACGGTCTTGCTCTGCAGTTCAGGCTGGCCTTGAGCTCACTTTGTAGCCCAGGCTGGTCTCGAACTCGCAACGATCCTCCTGCCTCAGCCTCCTGAGTGCTGGGATTTCAGGTGTGCGTCACCACGCCCGGCTGAACCCTGACTTTTTAAAGCTACTCATCTGGTTGTTTCACAGCCAATGAAGCATTAATTAACTGGCACTTAAGACAGCACTTGAGGCAGGCGCAGGTCAGCAGCCTGGGGCTGCACACCCTAGAAGCGCATGCAAATCACCTGCGGAGCATTTCCCAGTGCCAGCCTTTGAGCTGAACTGTATCAGAACAATGGAGTGGAGAGGGAGCTGTCCAGCCAGAGCTTCTCCAGCACAGCTACAAATGCAAATCAGCTGCGCTTATTAACGTCCAACTTCGATGCCTTAGTCTTGGGGGGGCCTCCATGCTCACAAGACAACAGGCTGCCAGACTTTCTGGTCCAACACCTTTTTTTCGGGCACTGGGTACCAGGAATTGAACTTAAGAGCTTTTCAATGAGCTACATCCCCAACCCTTTTGTGTTTTTTATTTTGAGATCAGTTCTCTCTAAATTGCTAAATTGCTCAGGCTGGGCTTGAAGTTGAGATCCTCCTGCCTCTGCCTCCCACAGTCCTGGGATTACAGGCACACTCTACTAAGCCTAGATACATTTTTCAAAGAAAGGGCACAATGTGACTTCCAAGACCTTTGCATTAGTTAATGACAGAGCTGGGTCTAGAGCAAAGGTCTCCTGGCACGTGGTGAAAGGTCCTTTCTACTTCACAAGTCAGACCTCTAACTCAGTATATTAACTTCAGAGCAGGATTCTGGGTCTGCAAAGTGAGTTCTCAGCAGCTTAATTATTAAAATGGTAGAAGAATTTCAGGCCAGATCAAAAAAGCACAAAGTGAACAATAGAGCTGGCATTTATCTCAGGCATTTAGAGAAAAGCCAAACCAGTACGTGGCCACCAAATAATCAAGGTTGGCACCCTGTGGAGCCCAGATGAGCTCGCAGCTACCTGCTCAGTAGCCTTCACAGAGCTTAGAGCTGATCTTCAAGTAGACGTTAGAACTGTTTACAGAGGCAAAACAGCAGCTCGAAAACGGAGGTAACAGCTTTCAGGTTGGCTACTTGCTTTCCCCCGGTTTATAGATTCTCATGAGAAAAAATATATGATCACAATTCAGCTCAAGTACAGGACAGGTGGTGCTTTCCAGGGGCCCATGGCCTGGTTCTGATGGTTTATTTTATGCCTTAGCTTAACTTGAAAGCCTGAGCTAATCTATCAACCATGCACACGACCTGCATGGCTTAGCACTGCGCACACACACACACCACACACGCACTAGAAGTGAGGGGCTATTTCATGATGAGCAGGAAACCCCCAAATGTAGGTCTTTTCATTCTGAGGTTTTGTACTGTGTGATTTGGCCATGATCCTAAAGCCATACAAACCTTTGAGAGGCAACTGAGGTCATACGGGGATTTGGCAGGGTGAGGAAAGTTCCTCTGCTTTGCTGGCAAAAATGCCGAGTGACAGAGGCATGGCCAGGCTGCTGCTGCAGCTCTCAGGGCGGGAAGGGTCCGCAGCTCTCTGTGTCCCGTCCCCTCGCTGCTGGGCTCCACACCTGGCCAGCACCCAGACGAACCAGCCACGCACCTGTACTGAGTGTCCTGGCCCGGTCTGTAGAACCAGTGTGGCTGCTCCCAGCCCGCGTGGAAGCCCATGGAGCACTTGGGCGCCAGGGTCTCATAGAGCCCACTGACGCGCTGCGTGGGCCGCCCGGCGAAGCGCTCTTCCTTGGGATAGCCAACTGGAAAAGGAGAGCCGGCACTCAGGATGACAGATGCTCCCAAGGGATTCAGAGAGTGAAAAACACAGGACCCGAAAGCCAGACGCACATGCAAGAGTATGTGTGGAGTTTATGTGAAAGTCAAAGCTGTCATTTATGTTCATCATCAAGGGATAAAGTGAAAAGATATTTAAAACTTGAAATAATTAATAATGCACAATACTGTTAGGGTCCCGGACCACCTCCACCCAATGAACACCATAAAGAGCATCTAGTGTTGGACGCTGTGAACACTTTGTACAACTGCAAATCTGTACTTCACCGATGTTGTTGAATCCGTAGGATTCTCTGGCTTTGGCCTCAGTGTACTGAGTTGTGGTCCATTTGCCGTAGCGGTTGGGATCCAGTTCTATCAGGTCAAAAGGAGGCTCTCCCTGCAGGATCCAGTCACTGAGGTACTTCCCTACCCCGCCAGCGTGGATTATGCCATACCTTTTGAACACAGAGACAGATGCCCACTCACTATCACAGGTTGTTTTCAAGTGATCACAGGTCCAGATATTTTACAGGGCCTCCAAGTTGGAGTGTTCTGTGCTCTTCTGAGCACTAAGGGACATCATCTTTATGCTATCCACTTTTCCATTTAAAATGTACTTAGGCATCCAAATTAAACATGCCTGACTTGATAGCTGGTCTGTTCCCACAATGCTGGGAGAGGTGTGCCTGCAAATTAGCCTCCACCTCCTAGCTTTGGAGGAAAAAAGGGTGTGGGCGAGTGAGGAGGATGGAAGTGGAGGACAGGGCAGTGTGGCTGACTCTCACCAGCTCTCCTGAGCTCTGACTGCCCTGGCCGAGGGGAAACTGGAAGGGAAAACTCATGCCCCTCAGGCTCGGCTTGGACCTGCTTGGGCAGTGGCCTCTTTGCAAGGAGCCAGGGCTGTGGACTTGAAAGCACTGAGCCCAGAAGCCTTCACCTGGGCCCTGCAGGGAGGTGGAAAGACGCTCTGGCACCTGCATTTAGCAACTATTGGTCACTTAGTGGGCAAGACTGGCTTGCTTTCTACTCAGTAAGAAGATGCCTGATGATGAAGAATGTGACTGCGTTTCTGCTATCACAGTAGGGAGACCACTCTGGAGGGCGGCGGGTGGTCATGGGCAGTTCCACCCACTCACGCTTGTCTAACGAAGACCTTCACGGTCTTCACCTACCTCAACGGTAGGTTTATCTGTGGTTCAGTCAAGAGAAGCTCCTGAATAATCAAAGGGGCCCGAGACTTTGGGAGAGAACCAAGGTTAGGAGCTACCTGGGCAAGAGTGAAATGCAAGACCCTGGCCACCAAAGGACAGCAACTCAGCAGCCAGAACCACAGGTTCTGAGGACACGGGCGGAGCCCAGCAGACCAGAAATACTAACGGCGCTCCTCCCCACAAGACGCCAATTTTGCTACATTGGAAAACAGATGTCTGGGTCGTTAGACGGCTATTTCTCAAGGAGAGTAAGAGGCAGCCGTGCACATTCACCCTTCTCTGGCATCGCGGTGCTCGGCGCGGCAGAGCCGGCCTGCGTCAGTGTGAGCGCGGTCAGTGGCCGGGTGAGATGGGGAAGAAAGAGTACTGAAGCTGCACTATGCGGAGGAGTGGATTTGACATCAATCTTCGCCAGATTAATGGGAAAAATATTAGAAATAAAACTTCAAAGAGGCAATGGAATCATTAATCAGAAGCAGCACAGGAATTACAGAAAACACATCATGTTGGGCAAACAAATTATGGTGACAAATGCATCAGGCACATTATATGTTTGCTATTTTGAATTATCTTTGTCACATTGTACCATGAAAAATCCTCGTAAAATGGAGGCAAATTGACCTGCCTGAAGGTAACAGCATGAAATGAGACGAAAATGGCAGGAAACAGACAAAGAAAACTTCAGGAAATGGTTGTCTTTCTGTGTGCTAACCTTTAAAACCCACACGGGTAATTAAGCCATTATAGAGTCAGCATTTTAACACTGAAATTTTTTCTCTCTTGTATTATCTCTTGGCCATAAAAGAGAAAATTCTCTCTCTTTCTTCAGTATTTTCCTTTTTTGTCCTGAAATTATGGGACCAGAACTTAGCTTAGTAAGTGATTCTATAATCACTGCTGGGTTCACACAGATACTCACCCAAAGCCCACAGCCACCCAGTAGTTCCGGAGCCCCTGGTGCGGGCCCACCAGAGGCAGGATGTCAGGGGAGTAGGTGATGGGGCCGTTGACCACATTGATGATGTTGGCTTTTTGCAGGACTGGAACCATCTCCATGGCCACTTGTACATGTTCCATGATTCGGTCTAGGTCAGACTCGAAAAGTTCCTTTCCAAAGCCTGGAAAGACACCGCCCTGTGGTCAGCATGCCTTCGCACACAGACAAGCACTCTGAGATGATCGAAATCTAATCAACGTTTGCTGCCCTCAGGAAGCCACCCCTTACACTACAGGGAATAACCATGCTACTGTTCTGGAAACAAATCGCTTTTTTAATTTACAGAAATTTAAATGTATGTATATTAAACTTCCACTGTTTAATCCAATCATGATTTTAAAAATACAAAGAACAATAATTTGGCTTGTTAGGAGAGCTCTTTACCCTTCAATCAACCTTCAGCACCTGCCTCACCCCCACCTCCTGGTGAGGGCAGCTGGGAGGGAACAAAGTCCCACCAGGACCCCCGGAATGGGCACTGCTGCTAGATCTGGGAGGACAAAGGCTGAGCCCCTCTGCCCTCCAGTGGTGAAGGCTTCCTTCTGCAGCTGTGCCCATGCCCTGCCTGTGCAGATGGGGCCTCCAATCTGTCCTAAAGTGACTGAAAAGCCCTAAGTCAAAGCAGGGCCACAGATGTACTACATCGCCACCCATCCCAGTGACTTCCTCAGGCCAGCCCCTCCTGCAGGGGCCGCATGTAGAGCAGCTGTGGGCAGCTGCACAGAGGCTTCAGGCCACCAGGGCTGGGTGGGTTAGGATGCGTAGCACCCTTACCCTGGGTAGGCAAGCAGCCGCCCAGCTCTGCCTCCAATGGGTAGGATCTCCACCTTGGTTAACTTCTGCCTTTTTGAGGAGGTGCTGGGCCATAAGGGAGAGAGGGGAGGGAGAGGAAAGCCCAAGTTCGCACAGCCAATCAGCAAAACCAAAGCCCTGAGGCCAGCTGTCCCACCTCTGGAAAGGTTGCTTGGGATCAGCTCCTGTGGCATGACCTGCTGCTTGTTGGAGGGAGAGGTTCGTTCTCCACCCCAAGTTGCTTATTAAGGCATAATTCTGAGCCACATGCAGGCATTTATGTGTACATCCCAGCACAGTGAGAAGCTGAGACGGAAGAGTCGCAAGTTCGAACTCAGTCTTGACAATTTAGTGAGCAGCTGTCTCAAACTGTTAAAAACAAGTCCTCTCTGGTAATACACACACACACACACACACACACCTGTCATATTTCAGTACCCCAATGACATGTTAGCTCCCTTTATTAAAACCTAGGCATCCCAAATCTTAACCTGGCCCTGTGGAAACATTTCACGAGGAAAAAAAGAACTTATCTCCCTCACAGAACTTGAAGGAGTTCACAGCGCCCTGCTGCAACACGCAGACAGGGCCTGTGCTGTCCCTGGGTTCCTGGTGGCCTGTCTGTGGTCCGACCTGCCTGCTCTGCTAGGCTCTCTGCCCTTCCTTCCCAGTGGGTGGTGTCCTGCCTCTGCCCCCTGCCCTGGGTCACCTGTGGAAGCCTGAAACTGCTGTAAGCAGGCGGAAGGCAAGGCGGGAAGCTGGAGGTTGGCAGGGGCAAAGGGCGCGCCTGGAGTCTTTCCCAGCCACTAAGACAAGAGCACACCTTCTCTCTTTGCTCACTTCTTGTGGTGTCCTTGAGGGTGGTAGAAACAGGCACCCCAGGGACAGCACCCGAGGGGCACAGGCATCTGCTCAGGCAAGAGGACACACCTGTTTTACTCTGCAGCTGGCCCACCCTGGGCCATGTGTTTCTGGCCTGCAGGACCCACCTGGAGGAACACCGCTGGTGACCCATGTGTCCTGGACCTTCATTCTCTCCTGATTCTCGTAGGGTCCAAACAGAAGCCCATCCCGTTCCTGGCGCAGGTAATACGACCCTTCCAGGTCCCGGAGCACAGGGAGCTCTCGCTTCAGAGCCTGCACTTCTGGGATGGTGGAGGTGACCACGTACTGATGCTGGACGGGGATGAGAGGGTGTTCCAGGCCAATCATCTTACCCACTTCGCGAGCCCAAAACCCTTAGGGAAAAGAAATCACTTAAAACTGGAGCCACATATATAAACATAGTACGTATACCACTGATAGGACAACTTATATCAACATTATTCAGGAGGATTGTGTTCTCGCGGCGAAGTCTAAAGACTGCCGTCGCAATCTGCAGCGTGTCATTGCAGGTTGGCTCCTCCACTTCCCAAACGCTCTCTCCAAATCTGCCGCCCAGACCTCCAAAGCTACAAGACTGCTTGGCTTATTTAAAAATTTGAAAATGTACACACTTTAGAACAGATGGCACATTAAGTTTTTATCTATTATTTTTAAAGTCCAGCTTGAATGAGTTTTTTGTTTTGTTTTGGTACTGGGAATCGAACTCAGGACCTTGCACTTGCCAGGCAGTTGCTGTCCCACTGAGCTATATCCCTGGCCCTGTTTGATAATAATTTTGAGTAATCCTTCAAATTATTAGAGAATTCTATTTTAGTATTTTTTTTTTGGTACCAGGAATTGAACTCAGGACCTTATCAGACAGGCACTGTGCCACTGAGCTATGCCCCTGGCCTCTATTTTAGTTGTTGCTTTAGAGGTTGCACTTTTTAAATATTTAATAATTTCTGGTTCTGCTTTTTAAAACTCTGATAGTAAATTCCGAGCTCTCTCTCTTGAAGTTCCAAGCTGGACACAGAGTCACAGTGATGAGTCAGCCCGGGCACTGACACTGTGCTCTGTAGGGTCGAGGTCTGCTTAGTTTAACCAGCTCACCCTCACCCCGTGTCGCACTGCTGTGCTCTGGCCAAACAGTTACTTTGGTCGCACTTGTGAGGTAACTCAGAGATGGGCTCCCTTTGACAAAGCGGAAGTCCTGCCTGTGGGCAGCAAAGCCACTTGTCAGTGTTAATAATTTAGACACTGAATATATTCTTACTAGTGGGAAGATATGACTTGTCAAACTCAGGACTCTGTAGGAAAATATAGTAAAGTCACAGTTATGTACACTAGAGCACTCTTTAAAAAATAAATGGCCAAAATACTTATCCTAGCAACTCAAACTACTATAGCATCTTCAACCTACTTATTGCAATTAAAAACTTAAATGGAATAAAATTAACTCTCATAGTCAAACATATTTATGGATTTCTGAGTCCAATTTCTTGTTTGTTTTAATATACTTCATTACTGAAATAAAATGAAAATGTGTGCGTGTCAGGTAAAGCAAGCTCAGCCCTGTTTTATGCTCTGTCACTGGTGTCTGTTGACATTCTTTTGCTCCATACATTAATCAAATTAGCCCAACTCTAGCCAAGATTATACTTCAATCCCACCACCTTCCAAGGAGAGTCAAGTACAGAAGGGTCACTCTAAAAATCTACCACTGCCACCTCAAAAACAGCTGAAGAGCCAATAAAAATGACCTCCATTTTTTAAAGACACAATGATTAATAGAAAGGATATTAAAATAAAGGGTGAAGAACCATGAACAAGTTCACTTCTACACGGTGTCATACAGTGACAATGATGGTCTGGTTCTCTGACCCAGAAGCAAAATCAAGCAATTCTTTTTCGTTGAACAATGGGCTTCACATTAGAATGCTCCAGTCATATTTCTGATTTGCAGTACTCAGAGAAATCTTAAGCAAATTTTACAACACTATCTCAGGTGCAATAGGTCAGCTGGAAGTGAGGTCAAGAGAAACACTGTCATCACGCAGGGAGGCTTCCCTCACAGCAAGCAGGACTTGGCCACGTCCTTCGCTGTCCCCGGGAAGGGCTCATAAAAACAGCAAGGGCTGATTCTGAGAGCTCAAGGAACTGGGGAACAGCAGACTATTGCACACCAAAAGGTTAGGAGCATCACAGCCCTCCTCAGCGGCTTGCCCAGTGGTGGTTTTCAAAAGATGTTTTGCAAGTCACGTGGTACCAACGATACAGTTAAAACACAACTGAGAGCCCCAACCCAGACACCTCAACTAGAATGCCTCAGAGGCCTCAGAAACGTCAGCGCTGACTCAGACACATACGCTTGGTGACCAAGTTCTTGGGGCATCCGTTTACAAAGCGAAGAGGGAGAGAGAAGAGCAATCAGGGTAACAAGAAGCTGTGATACGCTGATGTTCCTATCTCCAGACTAGGGCCTCCGTTCTTAAGGAAATGATTGTAATCATCACAGTTATTATTATTCTCACCTAAGTTTTTAGTACTTTCCATGTATAAGCTCTGCTTTAGGAACTTTACATTATTACCTCATTTACTACCCATAACAACTTTTTTTTTGTCCTTTTGAAACAGGGTCTCGCTATGCAGTTCAGACTGGCCTTAAGCTCACTTTGTAGCCCAGGCTGGTCTGGAACTGGCAATGATCCTCCTGTCTCAGCCTCCCAAGTGTTGGGATTACAGGCGTGCACCACCACGCCCAACCTCTAACAACTTTTGAGAGGGGCACTCTTATCCTTACTTCATAAACAGTAACTTGCCGGAGATCCAGGATGGCAATGTGTGGGTCCCAGGACCAGACAGCCCCACTGCTCTGGATCAGGCCAGCAACACACAGCAAACCCACGTTTTCACTCTTAGTCTGTCGTATTTATGGACATCCTGAGGAGTTTGCAGGCTTTAAATCTTTCAGCTTTTAAATATACTTCCAAGTCTATATCCTGGTAACTCTAAAGATTTCAGAGCTGTCCTGAGGACCCTGACTGTATTTGTGAGACATCATGGTCTCTGAGCGATTCTGGGAAATATTCTAGCCCTGAGCATTTAACATGATGGTCAGTTTAAGTCAGAACATCAGTCTTTGTCAGCTTCAGTTATAGAAGGGGCTCACCCAAACCTTCCCCCACCAGTCGCTGAGGCTGACTCTTTAAGGAGTCTCTGTCCTTTAAGTCAGTTTTGTTTTTAAACCGATTTACAAATAAATACTCACATACCACATGCAACCACACATGCACACACATAGCCTTATCCCCTATAGACTAATATATAATTAGTTTGATTTTTTTTCCAGTAATTTTGCCCAGTGGAAAAGAAGTAATGAAGGTGAAAAAAGTTTTTAAAGGATTATGAGACACAGACCTGATTTGAATGAGGGAGGTGAGAACTGACACAGGAACTTGTGTAACTTTCAGCAGCCAGCAGCGTGCAATTTCCAGGGAAGAATGGCAGGGGGTGGGCAGTCTGGGGCAAAGGCCAAGGGGGCATCACTGCCCCACACAGGCGCCACATCCCCTTATTCAGGGTTCTGTACCCCAGGCCTGCCAGGGACGGACGCTCTCAGGGCTTCCTATCACTGAGCATGGCACTGCCTCAGGTCCATAGCCATGTGCAAAAGCTAACCTGAGCATCAGTTCTTGAGGTGGGGTCAGTGCTCTTTTAAAATCGTCCCATCTTCCTCTTAGAGACTCCTCCTTCCTCACAGTATGTGGTTTAAGAAAAAAATAATTACAATAGCAATTTACTAGGCAAACAGATGTCTGTCCATTTTAGAAAAACAATAATCAGAATATTCTAGGTCATTTCTCCAAATATCTGTTGGAAATAGATGACTTCCTGAAGCACTGTGCTGAGAAAAGTGGTGGGACTGTATCCACGCCCACATGAAACAAGCGCAGGCATCACTCTGCAGGGTCTAACAGCATACACACAGGAGATTCTTGAGGATAGTGGGAGAGAGGAAGAGCAGATGGCTGCTGAAGGGCAAAGGACAGTTCAAAATAAAGCGATTTTTATACCACTGTTTTTTACTTTATAGGCAACACTATATTATTTTAAAGTTCAAATTCTATTAAAGAAAGTACTATATGAGATTTTTAAGCTTTTTGAGTGGGAGGCATGGGTTAGAAAGATTCAGAAATACTAATTTAGACTCTCAAGTATTAAAGACATGGTATTTTGTAGAACCACTAAAAGTGTTTTGTTAAAAAAATAGCATCTAGCTGGGTGTGGTGGTGCATACCAACAAGACAGCCCTTTGGAAGCTGAGGCAGGAGATCACTTCCGGTTCAAGACCAACCTGGGCTACATAGTGAGTTCAAGGCCAAACTGCACTACAAAGCAACACCCTGCCTCAAAAAAAACAAAAAATAAAATATAATAAAAGAGCATCAGGGCTGGGGATTTAGCTCAGTGGCACAGCACTTGCCCAGCAAGCGTGAGGTCATGAGTTCGATTCCTGGTACTGGAAACAAAACAAAAAACAAAAAAAAAAATACAAAACAAAACAAAAAAATAAAACAGCATCTATCAGAAGGAGTAAGTTAGAGGAAAGAATCAGAAGGATACATATTCCTGGCATATCTTCATCATACTATTTGATTATTTTCATTTTATAATTTAAACAGCAGCTCAAAGAAAGTCAGTTACTGCCCCATGCTTATTTTAGGTTCTAATGAACCATTATGAACAATAAGAAAATATAAACTATAAGTTTAGAGGACACAACCATTTTTACTAGGATCTTTTATGTTTGTGTGAAGGTTAAAAAGGCCTTCATACACACACAGCTGGCCTATTAGAAAGTGTGTCAGCTCCAGAACCAAAGGACCAGGTCCTGGCTCTGATGGAACTAGCTGTCCTTTGGCTGAGTCCCAGGACCCCGCTGGACCTTACCCCGAACGAGTGGGAAAGGACCCAATGTCAGATCGTCTCAAGTGCCCATGGGGCCCTACCGCCCTGCTTGTCCGACCTGCAGTGATGCAGACTGAAGAAAAGGTTACAGGACGTGTTTAATAACATTCTGAAAGGAGAAGTGTCACAAGTTTTGGCTAGAATCAGAAGTGGATGAGAGAGAACAGAAGTGGTCAAACTTATCCTACAAAGCCAATTGAGAACAAAGACAATGCTCAGAAATCTGAACAGTAAAATATAGTTACTAGCATAAATGGTGAACAAAGGAACAGGAAAAAGCCTGATTTGACAAAATGGAATCTGGAATAGAAGAAAATAGGATAACAAAGGACAGAGTGTTCTCAGGTGCCAAGGGCATAGCGACAGAGGGAAGGCTTTGTAGCTTAGACACAAATCTGACAGTGCCACAGGGCTGCCTAACAATATTCACAGAGTACAGTGTTACTTTATGGCTAAATATGTCTTTGCTACTTTAATAAAACACTAGATTTTTAAAGACATGATGCTCACCTGCGGCATTCACAATTCTGTTTGCTCTCAGAGATCCTTGTGGGGTTTCAACATCCCATGTTCCATCCGACCTGGGCTTCAGAGAAGTCACAGGGGCAGGGTATTTTAAAAGGGCCCCGTATTTCCTGGCCCCAGCAGCCAAGGCCATCGTCAGAGAATAAGGATCAATGTGACCATCTCCAGGGTTATACAGTCCAGCTAAAATCTAAATCCATCATATGAGAATCAATATTCACACAAATACTTACTACTTGGCACAGATGTTTACTGCCAGCCAATGTTAGATAAACCTGGACTTCAAAGTGTACCTGGGAAAGCTTGACCACTCCGCATATCTTGGTTTTCCTAAGTTCCACTTAGGATTTGCACGAGTGTTAAGTAGGCTATGTAGGAGGCTTGGTCGTTTCCCTTCCCCCTCCGAGGAGCAGTGGAGCTCCAGTATTTATTGGGACGGCTGGCCACTAAGAACAAAGGGTGCAGTTTCTAACCTGCCCGACAGCTCCTAGTTCCAGCTGGTACCTAAAACTACGACTAAGCTCTGGTCAACAGAAATCCAAATAAAACACCTCATGCCAGCTTCCACAAACCATTTTTAAAGGCAACTGGCACATGCCTTTCTTCCCTGTCCCTTCCTTCATCCTGCTATCTGCAGTGCAGATACCAGGGCTGGCACTGGTACTGCCATCTTGAAATTATGTCATTATTGTGTCACAAGACTCACACCCCTGGGGTGACAAGCCATGGTCTGGAAGGTGACTGGGTCCTTGAGGTTTTAGGAAAAACAGTCACCGTTTTAGACTTGGACTGTGAAAACAAAAGGGGAAAAAAACCTTACATCTCATTAAAGCATTATTACTTTGACTTCTGACATTTAAAGCCAAATCTAACCCTAACTACCATAACAGTTATAATTTATATTTAATTGTCTAACATGGTTAATAAATTCACATATTAAATCCAGAAAAATTTATACAAGCTTAATTCAAAATTGCACAACTAATTTTTGCATTCCAACTGTGCTTGTTAGGGCTTCAGGCTAGATACTGTGGGGAGACAGAAGAGTCAAAGTAAGAGGAAAGTAATTGACAGAATGAACACAGTGAAATATTATAATTTTAGGTTTCACCTACTCAACAAAAATCTATTTAGCACCAAATATGAACAAAGAGCTCTTGTTAGATGTTATTCCCCCAGCTATTTCAATGACTGCGCAGTTTTGTCCTTTATCCTTTTAATGTTGACTGACTTCGAGGTGTTAAACCAACCCTGCATTCCTGGGATATGTTCCACACAGTCATACTGTACCAGCCCTTTGATATATTGCAGAAGTCAGTTTGCCAGTATTTTGCTGAGGATTTTTTCACCTATTTTTTTCTTGTGATATCTTTGGTTTTAGTATCAGGGCAGTTGGGAACTGTTCTTTTTTACTTTTGAATTTGCAAAGGGTTAGCATTAATTCCTTTAGTGTCCGGCAGAAGTAACCAATAAAGCCACATGGGTCTGGGCTTTTATTTGTGAGAAGTTTTTGACAACAAATTTAATCCTTTTATGTGCAAGGGAGTTTTAGTTTTAATGAAATTTATGTTCCCAAAGACTTCCAAATGTCATAAATGGATATGTCCTTGTCAGAGTGATCTCCTATCTGTTCGATTTGGCATCCTGCTTGGATTCACAGACCTCCCCTCACAGGGATTTCTACTGCTCAGTGCCCTTGAAAAAATCCTGATGGTGAGAATGCCAGCCAAGTATGTAGGACTGACATATCAGATTGAAGCATGTTCCAACAAGGACTGGAGTCAAAACTTCAGAGAAGACATGCAGCGTTTAATACACCTCACCGCCATCTCACTGCTAGCACAGAGCACTGTAGACAAGGTAGGTTGTAAAGACTCACAAGGATGACATGCCCAGCACCACAGCAGTATCAGAATCTCTCAGAGACCCGAACTACTGCAGTAGTTACCACCTACTGCACAGGGTCAGCTTCGATGAACGGCCCTATGGTGCACATGCAGTGGAGGGAGAAGTCTGAGCTCAGATCTTTGTTCCAACTCTTTCTAAATGAGCAACTTAGCCCACTGTGTAAACTACCTAAGATCCAGCATCCTGTAGTAGTAATAATATATACTTTATAATATTACTATGAGGATTAAATAAAATCATGCCTACAAAGGGCTCAGCATGGTCCTTGGTGCGTAAGTATGTGACACAGTGTTAGTGTTAATATTATTCAAAAGGGATGGTCACTGAGTAGGGAAATATCACTACATTCCCTGTCAAGTGGGTTTTCTCAGGAAAATTTGGTGTAAATCTAGGTCTATGCCTGGGACAGAGTCTATAAGGGAAGTACAGCTGTGAGCTAGGTGATATTTGTGGAACATATGTAGCATTTAAATTGCTTTTCAAAAAATATAATAACCTGCTAGAACAATTATTCAGGATATCAATTCTCTGCAGTTCTCAAACAGATTTATGTATGGAAAGCCTTTCACAGGAACACAGTAACAGAAAGGTATGGAAAAGATTTCCTCAGCTGTCACAGGTGAAAAACTGGTAATATTTTTCATTACCTTTTCATATTTCATTTAGTATACATAACAGCCCACCTGGCAATTTGCCAAAAATCCAGCATTAATTATCTAATTTTGCCATTTGAAATGTACGCACAAATTAAAGTATTTCTACTTTAAATTAACATTTTAAAAATTGGAATTCAACTCAATAATTGGTTAAAATGCTCCTTAAATACCTTATCCATGTTAAGTAAAGGAAACATCTCTTGGATTTTTTCAGGTCCAATAATATACTGTTCTGTAGCGTGCCAGCCGGTGCGCGTCATTTGATATTTAAATTCATCTACCCTTACAGGAGTTGTAGCAATTCTGATACTTCCCGGCTGATGGAATCCTACCACCTGTGACAATAATTTCAAGGAAAGAACATATATCAATTATTACTTGGCACTTAAACACAGATATCCAGCACACACACAAAAAATGCAGGTGTATAATAATAGTGATTTACTCTGCAGAGAAAGAGTTAATTGCATAAAATATTTACATCTTCTGAAAAGACATTCATTGGCAGCTGATGGCTCCTAGGAAGGAAGACAGCACAAGAACATGAGCAGCCTCAACTTTAGGCTGTAGAACTCTCTGCCACCTTGTTTTGTTTTGTTTTTTGAACAGAGACCTTGCGAATTCAGGACCTGGTGCGCACATGTTTTGAGCACATGAGGCATGAAGGTAAGAGTAAGGGTCTTCCCAAAGCGCTTCTCAAAGCCTGCGATAGGCTGGCAAACACTGTTGTCAGACCTTACCATCCAGTGGCAAGAAGGTTCCAGGTTTTTTTTTTTTAATTTCTAGATTTAATCACTGGCTAAAGATAGTTTTGGGAGCTGTTTTTTTATCCTTGCTTCATTTAAAAAACGAAAATGGTTAATTGCATGGATAATACATGTCAAGACATTAAGTTAATTTAAAAACAAATGGCAGAGGGTCCTACCTTGACCCCTGCCCTGTTCCTCTGCAACATTAGCGGCGTCACTGAGTTTGGCACCACATGTAAGAACCTTGCCAGTTCCGAGGGACCCACCTCCCAGGCGAGGTCAAGAGCAGTGCACTTACCTGCCCAGTTTCCTCCTCCAGTTTCTCATAAAGCTTGATGCTGTCATAGTGTATCTTCTTCAAGTTTATTCCAGGATGAAAGTAAGTTGTTAAACCTGCCTTAAAAGTGGAGAGAAAAAGAAATTCTGAAAAAAAATTCCCAAAATGTTACCAGTTCATCTGCAATAAGCAATAATTTAATGCCAACAAGAAACAGAGCACCAACAGGTCCCTAGAGATGAGAACACATCGGAACCAATGTGGAGGTCCAGAGCATAAGGCTTGGGATGTGTTGCACAACATAATCTCAGCCATGTAACTAAAGCAAGAGCCAGACAACTGGTATATACATGGTGCCTAAAAAATTAGGCAAAAGAGTATTTGGAAATCCAGAAATAGGATGAGTTAGAGGGAAGGTCTAGGAATATCTGCTATGGTTAATTATACTTCATCTGGAATGCTTCATCCCAGAAGTGCTTTGGACTTAGGATCCTTCTGGCATTGAGAATATTTACAGACATATAATGAGATATCTTGGGAATGGGTCCCAAGTCTCTATCAGCAAGCAATTCATTTATAGTCTACATCACCTTATGTAATTATTTTATACAATTTTAAAATAATTCTGTGCATAAAACAAAATTTGTGTATATTAAATCATTAGTTGGTAGGTATGGAGTTTTCCCCTTATGATATCCCATCAGTGTTCAAAAGTTTCCAGGGCCTGGGATATAGCTCAGCAGCACAGTACCTGCCTGGTAAGTGCAAGGTCCTGAGTTCAATTCCTGGTACCAAAACAGAAAAAGTTTCCAAGTATTCTGGATCTTGGATTTTTGGACTAAGAATGGTCAATTTGTATTAGGAAGCACAACTCATAATACCGCAGCTTTAAAAATGTAATACTTACACACAGCAAAGTACTACTCTGCTTTAAAGAAGAATAAATTTGAGTCTTTTTATAAGAAAATGAATGTACCTTGAAACCATAACAGTAAATAAAATAAATGAGGCACACTATTTAAATATCACATAGTTTTTCTTTTATGAGAAACTCAAAATATAAATAAAGAGCAAAATAAAAGGTAGATAATAGGAAAAAGGGAGATGGAACTTTTGCAAAAGGGAAGGGGACCAAGAGACAGAGGGAGAAGGGACAGGGATGAGAAAAGCATTAAGATGTGTTATGTCCATGTGCCAACTCCCCATGAGAAAAGAAATCACTATGTACTACAAATATGCATTAAAAATAAAAATCTAAAAGGGGAATACGGGGGAACTCATCCAAAGGCAAACTCAAGCCAACAAGCCATGGGCGACATATCCCTTAGACAGAGGGACCACGGATGAGCCAAGGGTTTTTCCTTGATCCAATCCCATGAGTGAATCAACCCTCCTGTCCTGTCTTAGTTTTGTCTTATTGCTGAGACAATACCAGACACCTGAAGTTAAAGGTGAAAAGGTTTATTTAGCTCACAGTTTGTAGAGGTTTCAGTTCATAATCAACTGGCTCCAAGGCAGGGTGGCACATGGCAGAGGGGCAACAGTTCATGGTGGAGAAACATACCAAAAACAACAAGAGCAAAGGGGGAAGATGAAGCATCTTTTCCTCCCTTATACTATACGAGGCTACCTGCCTACAGTGGGTGCAGCACTCACACCACCAATCCTAGCACTAGACAATGAACCAATCACAAACTCTAGATTCAGCTACCTCCAAAAAGTAACCCCCCATGACCACATGAGGCTTTGCGGGGACATCTAGATGCAAACCATAACATGTCCCTTTCCTTGAATTGCAAAATTCAAGAATTAGAAAATCTCTGCTAATTAGAGTCTGGTGAATAGGTTAACCTTGGTTAACCTTGTCTGATGAGCACATGGGTAGGATCCCATATGTGTCTGTTGGATAAATACTGATTACTCTCTGGAAAAAGATATCCAAATATTAGCCATGCTGAAATCCCCCTTATCAGCTCTGGCAGATGCAATGTCAAAGCTGGACAAAGAATTGCAGGCAATTATATGGAGCAAGTTCTCTTAATTAAGTATCTGGGCCTCATTTTGCAGCTAATTTTATCTTGGAAAGCTCATCAGAACACAATCTGTTCAAAATAAAACCTATGTAGGAATATTTATATAATTCTTCTATGGTAGTGGTGGGCATTTGGTTCTCTGAAATTCTAAAACATTTAAGTTTATCAATCATCCTTTTCAAACCAGCAATCCAGGGATGCTGTCTAGTACTTGTTCAAGTATCTGCACATAACCATAGCTGTATTTTGGACAAAAAAATTCCTAACTCAGCTTATGATCACCCTATAGCCCAGGTCCACAGAGTCAAGAGTTCTGTTAGAGTGAAATGTGAGTCTGGCTCTTTGACTTCATGGTCAGTCACTACCTTTTCCTTTCCCATGTTTGACATTTAACATACATTTGAACTTTCCTAGTTCAATAATAAGGAACCCCTGGCCTTCCAGTATCTGCTATTGACCCCGATTTTGTCTTCAATGTGTCTCTTGTCAGTTGAAGAAATGAATATTCATGAACATGGGCCTGAGGTTCTGACCCGCTGGCTTCCCTCAAGATCCCCACCTGGTGAAGCCAGGCATCAGAAAGCTCCATTGTCTCTCTACACTGTTTACAGCATAAAGGCCTCTTCCTCCGCACCCTAGAAAGTAGCAGCAGATGGTTTTTCCTCTGTAAGTCATAGGGGTTCATTTTTGTAAAGCTTGTTATTCCAGACATTTAGCCCAATGTACTTTGTTCAGGGGAAAAACTCCTTTAAAAATTCATAGTGAAGGAAATGTTCAGCTCTCTTTTTGACACATTCTGTTTGTTTCTACTGGACAAGTCACACGGCCCTCTTTTTGTGGCTGCTTGGACAGTGAGAAGTGAGATGAGGTAATTTCCTGAGGCTGTTCCCTCTTTCATACACGTTGGGTCTGTCATTTAGTCTGTGGTCACAATTTTTGGAGCGACTCATGTGAATGCCTTCACGGTATTTAAACTGTTTGATATTCTCAAAGACTCTATTGTTCATTGTGACGTGGCTATGTCTCAAACGACAGCGAAGGGCATAGAAACTGAGAACTAAGGATAGAGAAGGTGCTGGGAGAGATGTCTTTAATAGGAAGTGGGCTTGACTTTCATTTCAAGAAAGAAAATGATCGTGGCAGGTGGAGAAGATAAAGGACGGTAGATAGGACAGGTAGGTACTCATTGAACCTTTTGAATAAGTTAAGACTTTTGAATCCTTGTTGAAATAAATAAATAAGTAGGGAAAGACTGGCAAAGAGCTGTACAAAAGGACCACTGAAGTCAGAGCAGGCAGTGGGTGCTACGTAGTGGGAAATAATGAGTGCCAGCCATGGCACACTCCCTAAACCTTCCACAGTCCCCCTCACCTCGGGAGCACCCCTTTCTCAAAGTCCAGTGATTGACCTCGACCTGCCTCCCAGCCAGGGCTCCAAATCTTTCATCCCTGTCCTTACATGATAAAAACTTAGCATGACACTAAAATATGTGTAGCCCTTCACTGGCACATGGTATGTAAATATGATTATTGTTAATAGACATCATAAAACACACAAAAAAACTTGGAATTAGTGAAGAATTTTAAGTAATTTTCATTTCATTTATTGCACAGAGAAGCTTTGGAATATTAGGCTTATTAATCACACTTAGAAAAGCTATGTGATTAATGTACTTCATTATTAAACTATATTCACTGGCTCAACATCTGCAATCCGCCGGTGTGGCAGCCTGGCTCTAGCTTTGCTGGCTTTAATGACTGTGACAGCGGAAGAGCCCTCTCCTAGGTGCAGGGCCAGGAGGGACCCACAATCCCTTGGGGTGCACACCGTGTCTGGAACCCCTTGCTCCATCCCAGCCGACACCTGCACAAGGTTTCTGTTGACATTCGACTGCTGCATATTCTCTTGTCCATCAGTTCTTGTCACAAACTTTCGTGTATTTTAAATAAACAGAGACAAAGGCCACTGTGGCCCTACCATAGGCAGCTAAGTTAGATGCAAATTAACAGGCAGTCAGGCAGGGACGGCCCTCGAGAGGTCTGTGCAGAGGACGAGAGCACAGCAGAACTGTGGCTGGAGGCGCATCTGTGGAGGTCAAGCCTCCAGGATAAGATGCAGTGGCCAGGCCTATATGCCCCCCCTGGGGGAAGAACAACACCTTGAGATGGCACTGTGATTGGTATCACCTGGCCCAGAAGTCCAGCTAGACATCAGTCACCCAGGTGGGTGATCAGAGCATCCAGATCCATCCCTTCCCCAAAACGCCTTCATTCTTTCCATGTGCCCTTGCTACGTGACCACTTCCCTACTGGACCAATATTAGCTAAGCGGCTATACTAGTAACCGTATAGGTTGGCTGTAGTTTGACCCACGTTGTACCCACACTGTGACTTTGTTGTATGAATACCCCTGACAAAGGGCCCTGGTGGCAGCCCACTCAGGACCCCTCCTGTCTCTCAGGAGTTATTCCCATTCCACAATAAACCCTTCCTACTCTTAACCTCCATGGTCCTTTAAAATTCATCCTTCAATCTCAGATATGAACTTGGCAAATCTGACGTCTAGCAGGTTAGAAGTCATATTTCTCCTATATCAACCCCTCATTTGGAAAAATCTTAAATGGGTTTAAAATGTGTATCTTCCGCATATATGAATTTTTTCTAGACTATATATATCATTTTGGCCAGAAAATTTAATAATAATATCAGAGGTTCCAAGCATTCATTTCAGCATTCTGTCTATACTACCAACAGGACTGTGTTCAAAAAGGCAGTTATTTCTCATTTACTGAAATCATCATTTTTATCTTAAAAGAACAGACTCCACCTAATTTGTGCATGAGTTTGTGAGTGTGACTGTGTGTGTGTGTACAAGGCATGTGCTCTTGCTGGAGATCAAATCCAGGGCCTTCCATATCTAGGCAAGCATTGTATCTCTAGTGCTGTATATATATACATAATATATAATATATTATATAAGTAATATATGATATAATATATATATGATGATCTTAGAGTTTCACAAATCTTTTTAATTACTGGCAGCAGGTAACGAGCAAGCCCCACTTAGTACAACACTGTCAGGCTCACCACCCCCCTTTCATTACAAAGCACATTACTTGAAGCCCTGCAACTCTACCGCTAATTGCAATGATACCCTTGAGCACACAGCCGACACTGTGTCACACTGTACTGATGGCAGAGGAGGGGGACCTCCCCACTGTGGCTTGCGAACCTCACCCAGGTAACCTTGGAATTATGCATGATATGAGGCCCACATCCAAGGTGAAGGCTACACGTAAGTACTGGTAAAGCTGAGCTTCTCTTACCTTTGTATATGAAAACAAATGGGAAGTTCTCATGTTGCCTCCCTACACCCCACATGTATCACCTGGTCTTCAGTCCTCAGCTCTTCAAGAGCACCCCTTGCAGCACCACCCTGAGCCACCCCACGTCCCCAGATTGCTGTGTGCTCCAACCTCTCCCCTCCCCTCCACCGCACAGGAAGCGCCCTGGATTATCAGGAGCGCCACACACTGAACAACCAGTCCTGTTAAAACATGGCAGCCTCAGGGCTGACGGGTTTGCGACTCCACCTGAATATCACTTAACAAGCTGAGCCTTCCTCCCCAGGTATTTGATTTCTGCACTTTTCAGACATCTTAACATGTAAAACTTCCTATATTTCAGTGAGACTGGCTGTACTTTTGCAGTCTACCCGTTAGCTGGAGCCCCAACCTACATTATTCTTGTCTGCCCCAAAACTTTGTATTGAAATACACAGTAGGTGGGATTTCTTCCTGTGCTCCTCGGAAGGAGGCCTCTTTGACTTGTGAACAACCCAGAATCTGCTTCCTTGGACAACTCTCTTTTCCTTGCCTTTATTCCAAGGGGACAGGTAACCTGGATCTGATGCCTGAACCCACCTTTCTCATTTTGTAACCATAGGGTGATCCTTGTCCACAAACTAGGAGAAAGGCTTTTCCCACACACTGTGGTATCTCTTTGCTTAAGAGAAAATTATTTGTTAAAAGTATGGTTAACTTTAAACAAAAAATCTTAAAAAGGCTGCCTACTATTCTTAAAAGAACTTACATTATGGATATGTTGCTTTTTATTCATGGGGCAGCTAAAAAACAAAGTCCTGTAATCTATTCCGAAAGTACAGGCCACTCAAATCGGTGTGCAATGAGCAAACACTAGCATGCGTGGCTCCTTCACAGGGAGCGGTGGGACGGGCGCAAGTCCTCCCTCTCAGGATGCCTCCGGGTGCCTCAATTTCCCTCTGCCTAAGTTTCTTTCCCAGACAACCCTGCCGCACTCTCAGCCCCATGATGCGACTCACGCTTCTCATCTCTGCCTGATGTCCCCTTCTGGAGTAATGGCCCCTCTTCTCCTCGCCTTCCTCCCCTCAGACTGCGCCCCTCACCTGCATCCCCTTCTCACCCTCTGGCACTGCTGGGTGCTCCCTGTCCTTCCCCTCACCATGTGAGTTGCAGAAGCTGGGGGCTGAGTTTCATTCCCGGCCTCACCCCCTAGACCACTGCTGGCCTGAGGTGGCACGGGCTCCTCACAAATATTTGTTGCATGGGTAACTGCAGCACTGAGGAACAGGTATAGGAGGGCCAAGGAGAAGACCAGCTTGCCTCCACAAGAGGGCCTGAGGCCTACAGGTGCAGCCTAGATGGACAGGAGAAAGGTGAGGCACGCTGGCTGCTCCTCTGGCCCTCCCGGCAGGCAACAGGAAGGACTGCGGGGAGAACAGGTGGAGAGCCATGTGCTGGGAAGACTGCAATCATGCTGGGTGGAGTTGGGGGTGAAAACAAGGGCCAGCTGGGAGAAGAGCCAGCCTGGTGCGAGCTCCCGGAGCCTCTGACCATCTGGTCCTGGGATCCGGGAGACTCAGGTACCGGGAGACTGGGCGGGGCAGTTGGGCAGGTGCTGGATACCAAACCTCTGAAGCAGGTCCCCTCTGGCTTTCTGTTCCCAAGAGGACAGCCATTCACAGACAGGGTGACAAGTAAGGCCGACACTGCCCAGCTCTTCCTCCAAAAGCAAATGGTGCCAGTGCTGCAAACCTCCTCCCCCATTCTTTGCAGACTTCGGAAGTAACTGGACGCAAACAAGAGCAAGGTCAAGCCTGGGCATCTACCTGGGCAGCTTCCAGTTTGCCTCATTATGAACAGCACTAGAAAAATCCCATAGATTGTGAAGTATGCAAAACTGACTTCGTCTGGGGTTTTACCTAAAACACTGCAGCACCCACTCACTGTCCGCGCATTTACATCTTCATGGGTCTAGGCTGTTGTGACACAAAACTGAGACCATAAGTAAAAGAGGTACAGGACCACCAAAGGCCAGCAGGAGGGCAGACCTCACGGAGACCAGCACTTCTTGACTTTAGTCACATGCTGCCTCCATCTTCCTCACAACCCTACCCATAGGTGGTAGGATATTCTCATTTTACAGCCTATATCGACAGACAAATGGGTAAAGACATGGTGTATATGTACATACACAGAGCATTCAGCCATAAAAAACCGAAGTCCTGTCATTTGCAGGAAAGTCAAAGGAACTGGAGATCATAATGTTAGGCGAAATATGCCAGACTCAGAAAGGCAAATACTTCCGCTTCCTATCCTATGAGGGACCTAGGGGTAAAGAGAAGGGAAGGCTGGGAAAGTAAAAGGGAGACTATCACAAACAGCAAGGGGATGGGGGCTGCTGCGGGGAGGGGAGGTGCAAAGCCCACCTGGCTGTCTGGCTAAGGTGCACCAACAAGCAACATTCCCATACACCAGTCAGAAAACGGAAACCAGTTACTTGCTGGAAGTCACATGGACAGACAACGGCAACCCAAAAGCCCTGTGTTCAAGATGAGGACAGAGAACAAGGAAGAACCAAGTGCTGCCCAGAGGGCCTCCGCCAAGCTACAATGGCGCGCTCTTCCCACTGCAGTGCAGTGACAGTGCCTAGAAGCTGTGCTGGGAGGGCACTGCCTGCACGAGGGAGGGCGCCGTTACTCAGCAAGGTGTGGGTGCTGTCTTACTGCGTGCCAGGTAGACCCGGCCGTGAGCTCCGACTTCTCCAGCAGGACCACATCTCTCATGCCGGCTTTGGCCAGGTGATAGGCCAGGCTCACGCCCACACAGCCGCCCCCAATGATCACCGTCTCTGCGTGGTCTTTCCATTTTGTCTCTGCAGATGAAGGCGGGCCTTCTTCTCTGGAAGACAGTATTTTTAGGAAATGGTAACTTTACTTGGCTACTGTTGCAGCTAGAATTCTGGTCTGACTGGTGTGTTTCCCTTGCCTGGGTCTCTCGTCCTTAGCACCCAGTGACTGTGACGTGCAGGGAGCTCTTGAACAACCCTGTGCATCCACACCCAGACCGGGCAGCTGGCAAGGAAGGAGGGGGACAGCAGAGATCAAGCCCATTTCACAGCGCTGGGGCACCATTGGTACAAACACAGCTAAAGAAATTCACAGGCTGGGGATTTAGCTCAGCGGCAAAAGTGCCTGCCTGGCAAGCGCAAGGTCGTGATTTCTGTTCCCGGTACCAGAGAAAAACCAAAAAAAAAAAAAAAAAAAAGAAATTCACAGGTAGCTTCTTTGTTTGCAAAGAATCTAGTGAATAATTTTGCTTATTTAAAGACATGAATATATTTAATAATTAGCATAATAACCTCAGCCCTCTATTAGCTGTACTGTTCCTACATGAGCCTCACCCAGAATGCAGTTCTAGTGAAGGTGGTGCTCGTGAAGGCAGGGTATTGGTTAGCTGCTGCCTCCTGTCAAGCATCCGTGTCGCTTACTCCTTTACCTCCGTGTTCACTCTTCACTCCTCCTACCCACTCATCCAGTACTTTCCGAGCTCCTGCCATGAACAGGACACCAAACCACACAGGGGCGATGAGCCGAAACAGACACTGCTGCTACCCTCTGATGTGTAAGCCATGGCCAGGGAGTCAGAGGAGCAAGTGGCACAGCTGTGGAGATTCCAGCGATGAAAGGCACAGGGTCTCACGAGAGTGGGTGAGCAGGAGACACTGATTTGAGTGTTGAGTGAGGGCAAATTGAGCAGCAAAGTGAGGAAGGAAGACTATTCTGGGCTGGATGGCAGGTGGCCAGTCGGGGGCTAGAAGGCCCCAAGGCCAGGGTGTGGCAGAGGGGTCCCTCTAGCCAGGCCTCAAGGTGCCCCTTAGCTGTCTTTTGGTCTGTGGGTTCATTGCCGTGTGTTGAGCACCTGAGACACTTGGTAATCAGTAAGTACACCGGAATGCATCGGTGAAGAACACTCTTCTTATTATCCTGTGCCTACCAATTCATTATGCCATTCTTCTTTCTTAATTACTAACCCCTTTCTTACATTAATTTCTAATTTAGAGATTCACAATATGAGTTACTAAGATTCTGAGAACATTTCCTGCATATCTTGGTGACACAGTCTAAAAATTGTAATTTTTAGGATAAGTTGTTTTTTGCTTTGTTTTGTTTTGCTGAGGATTGAGTTCAGGGCCCTGTGCTTGCTCTGCAGCTGAGCTATATTACCAGTCCTTTTTAAAATTTTCATTTTAAGGCAAGATCTCCTTAAACTGCTCAGGCTGGTCTCAAACTTGAGATTTTCCTGTCTCAGCCTCCTGAGTAGCTGGAATTATAGGTGCCATTGTACCCAGCTAACGTATGTTATAATCTATGAAGAAAACCAGATAGACATTTGCATTAAAATTAATATAATGATACTAATTATACCATCTGTTTTATTATCCTTTATTTGGAAGAGCATCACATATTGATAAACTGCTGAAAAGTCTTGATACCTATCTAAACTACTTTCAAATATTACCTAGACTAGAGATTTCTCTTTTCATTATTGGTTTAATGGGTTTGGGAAGTGATTTTCTGTTTGGATATAATTTCAAACTTATAGAAAAGTTGCAAAAAAAAATAGAAAAACCTCTCAGCATGCTTAAAAGGGAAATGTCGCCTGTGATGCACTCTGTTATTCCAATATGTGTTATAACATATATATGTCTACGTATTTATATGTGTATTATATGTGTACAGTTTTCAGAGTAAATTCCAGATAATTTTCAGAGTAAATTCCAGTACTTGTAAGTACTCCTGTACTCATTTCCTACACTCATACACATATACAAATGTATTCTTTTACATAGCTATAATACAGTTATCAGAATGAGGATATTTAACATTGATACAATTTTATCTAATCTATAATCCATATTAAAATTTAGTGTATTATCCCAATAATGTTTTATACTTCTTTTTCCAGTTAAGCATCAAATTTGCAACCCTCTCTTTAGTCGGCTTGAATTTAGGACCTCCTTTGTGTCTCCTGAGCTTGACATTGTCTAAGAACAACAGCCAGTTCCTCCCGAGAGAATCCTCCTTCTTCCGAGTTTGGCGTTTCCTTGCCACGTGGGTTAGGTTATGCATTTGTGGGGAGGACATCACTAAGCCATGCTAGGTGTCCTGGTGCATGTGGTGAGGAAGCACAAGAGGCTGGTGTGTCCCGTAAAGCTGCGTTCTCGTTCGTCATTATAAGCACGAATGTATGGTGCCCCTTGAGACCATGGGAAGTGTCCTGTTCCTTGTCAAACGCTTCCTCAGTGGTCTTAGCCCCTGCTGACTGCTTCTTACCCATCACACCCCATTGCATTCACCCTTGTCACCCTGCCTACCACAGAGCCCTGCTCCTTTTCTGTTTCAGTATGAACTTGAGGGTATTTACTGCATTCAGTGGGCTATAACCAATTACTGCTCAGCATTTATTTTAATGCCAAATTGTCCCAGAGTTGGTCAGCAAAAGTTTAAGTTGATCTACGGGTGCTTGTGAAATAACCTCATGACTCTTGAACACTTCTTTATTTTCTCACGCTATAATATGTCCCGCTAACTCTCGTGTAGCCTGTTTTTAAATGATTTTTACCATCTTTGTATGCTGTGTAAGAAAAAAATAATGTACACATGCGACTTTGCATAGAAATCCATTTTCAAATGGCGTGGGGAGATCTTGGACTTTACTTGAAACCAGTAGAGAAATGATAAACAATAATAATTTTAAAGATGCTTGTGGGTTCAAAACAAAAAAACAAACAAAAAAAAAAAAAACATGATTTCTTTCAGGACAGTGATCAGGTGAAACAAAAAGAATAAAGAAGGCCAGGAACTCTGGATTTGAGCACCCACTGCAACCGAACAACTGCTCTAGGAAAATGTAGATGAAGGATCTCACTGGCTCCAGGTCTGCAGAATGTGGCTATCAGTTTGCAAGACGGGATGAAGCATCATCAAAGGCGAGCCATGCATGTATAGTGCATGCCAGACTCAGTAACTTTTAAAGTTACGTGGACAGCTGTCTTCTGGAAGTAGTTGGGGATGGTTATAAATGTACACAGAATCAAATAAACTTGGAGTCATGCAAAAAAAAAAAGCATACCACGTCACCTATATCTGTCCTATATTAGAAATGGGTTTTGTTGTTGTTTTCACATCTTTTTCTATCAGTGCCTCTTAGATTTCTGGATGAATGTGTTTTATTTTGGCAAATTCACATGTGTACATGACTCAGTTTACTCACCCCACCCGTCACTCACCCGCCCACCCTCCTCTCTAGGGTCACGCTTTGGGGCTTCAACGTGTGCAATGTATTTTGATCCTCTCCATCCTCCCTGTTACCTACCTTACACCCTTTTCCCCTTCCCCTTACTCAGAAATGAGACCTTTTTTATTGCCACTTTGGCCAAGTGCTTTCCAAAAATCGAACATCTTCTTGACAGTTTGGAATTCGGTCTATAAAGAACATGCAATAGAAGTAAAATCATTTAAAGTTTGATTTGTTGAATACAGAACTACACATTGCTAAATGAATAGAGTAAAATATATTTTTGGGCAATCCTGAATATTACATCTAATCATTTTTAAACAAATCAGCTCATATGAGTTAAATTTCTCTACCCTTTTGCTTGAGGCAAAGTACCATTATTATTATAAGTATTTTTGTGATGTTTTACAGTCTACAAAGCATCTTCATATGTATTCTGTCATTTAAAATTTGCAACAAACTTGTGAGTTAGGCAGAGCAAATATTCGCATCTCTGTTTCCTTAATAAGCAGACTGACACCCCGAAGTGCAGCGTGCAGTCCTGCGTAATTGACAGCCTGGCGGCTCTTGTATTGGTAGCACTAGGGCCGTCCTCGAACACCACCATGTTAAATATTTGTTAAGTGGAAGGATCGATGGATAGATGAGTGTCAAAAACTGATCATTTGATTTCAAAAATTTTAGGTTTTAGAATGTAAATACAAATCAAGAGCCCATGGAGGAGGCGCACGCCTGTAATCTCAATGCTGTAGGAGGCTGAGACAGGAGATGACAAGTGTAAGCCCAGCATGGGCAACTTAGAGACACCCTGTCTCACAATTTTAAAAGTAATTGAAAAAAAAATGTAAAGGGGCTGGAGATGCAGCTCATTGTGAAGGCCCTGGGTTCAATCCCCAGTATGACTAGTAAACAAATAAATACTGAGTCAACTGCGCTAGTGAACAGAAGCCCTACCCTAAGCCATGAAGAAGGGCACAGCACTGCTCTAATTAAATACAGACCAATTCAACAATAAACACCGTTTTCTGCTATCAGACTGAGCAAAGACACAAAGCAGCTGCCACTGTAGGAACCAGGGAAGATGGGCAGAGGCCCACGTGGGCGGGGATGCGGGGTCCTGCAGCTTTTGGTGTATCTGTTACTTTTCGGGCTTTCAAACCAATTTCACTTTTAGAAATTGATTCTACAGACGGGCTATGGAGGTGCCCAAAGGTGCGCATTAGAACTTCACAAGCACTGTCCCTGCAGCCGCTAGCTGGAGGCCTACGGTGGGCGAGTGCGGTAGGCAGCACGGAAACTATGCAGGCGTGGAGAACACAGCGGACGGAGAAGGCGCTGCCACGCACCCTCGACCCGAAGCAGCGGAGACCTCAGGCACACCGGGACGCCGGGGCCGGGCGAGGGGCCGGGGCGGGGCCGCCGCGC